TCGTTAGCGATTTGCGCTCATCGCGGGGTCCCTACTCGCTAAGTATGTTAACCGAGATAACGTCCGTCTCGTCATATCAGTTTGATATAATGGCTAACGGCGCGATTATAAGACGAGAGAGAGAGAGAGAGAGAGAGAGAGAGAGAGAGAGAGAGAGAGAGAGAGAGAGAGAGAGAGAGAGAGAGAGAGAACTGGACAAATAAGGGGTGCGCAATATTTTTGCTCAAGGGATTTCTCCCTCGAAAGAGAGAATCCCTTCTAGATCCTTTCCTATTTTCGCAAAATGCCAATCCTGTAGCAAGCGAATGTCCCGCTCGTGGCGAGACAGTAATTCGTCGATACCTCTATCTCGTAACAATTTTGCGAAACTCCGCCGCTACAACGGGTCCCGGGCGGTGAGCGACGAATGAAAGATGGCCGGCAAATTTTATCTATTATCCCGAAACGTCTCCCCTTATCCTGCTTTATAAATCGGGAAGAATCCCCGAGCCCAGGGGAAGAGAAATTTCCGGGGTAATATTGGAACGTGAGCGAGAGCGGTAGGTTCGGCATTCGATCAAGGCTGGGCTCGTGTCTTCGCTATCACGCGTTAATCGCACTTCGGCATGTCATCGGCAATGTTAATTCGTGCTTACTTAGCGGCGATCCTTGTCGCTGCTAATTCACTTTGTGTCGACCAAGAAGAGGGGAGGGAGAGGGAGATGGTCTCTACTCGTCTCGACGTAGCGGACTTGAGACGTGCGTGTCACCCTTGAAGCAATCTCCATTCCCAGATGCATTCCCAGGTGCGAGTTTACGAACTTGCAGGTACACGTATCCGAGCAATCGTCTCGGTAGTTCCGTTGAAGTTTGTTATTAACTTACGGTAAAAGGATCCATGGGTGTGTGTGTGTGAAATTGTAACTTGCTTTAGGCAACGAGCGAAAAACGACTCCGCGTAACAATGCCAGATATTCGATGCCGATCTTATTTCGTGGATTCAACGACTTATGTTCCGCGCGCGGTATCGACAAGTGCACCCGCATCGATCCGCTCCGATGACGTACGCGATTTAAATAATTAGATCACGATTGCGAGATACATTGCGCGCACAGGATACACTCTATAAGCGCGGTTTCTGCGAAAATTCAGTTGGTTCACGTAGCGCGCGCGACGCATCGGCAAAAGCCGAGTCAATAGAATTGCAACGTAACATCGTCAGGTCACTGTTGGCCAAGCCAAAATTACGTTCTTGCTTTGCTCGTGCTGTGCCCTACGGTATCCGCATGGCGAATAATTAAACAAGCAGAGAAAGGGAGGGGGAACAGAGAGAGAGAGAGAGAGAGAGAGAGAGAGGGAGAGGGAGAGGAAACAAACCAAGCCGATACATTTGGGGATTGTCTGAAATATTTAGACTTGGTTTGCGGCAGTGCGCCAGTGCCATCCGTTGCTGAAATTACTACTTGCTAGAATCCCAAGACGCTCTCCGACGAAAAATGGGGTACCGGATTGCGAGAATCGAGAGATCAAAGAAGGCGAAAATCGTTCATAAGCAGAGCTTTCGAAAGTCGAGAGCTAAGATTTAGAACTTTCCCCGGGACACGTTTACGTTGCATTTGCAAAATTTGTTGGATTCTACATAGGAGACGCTTAACCGAATCGATAATGTTTCTTTATTGTATTTTCTTAGGGGTATTTTCTTTTCTTGTTTGCGATGCATCATTTATTTACGGCGCCACGATACTCGCGCTCGTCCTGTTTGCTCTTCGTAGAAAACATTTAGGAGTAAAAAAGAAAGATGGCGGGGCGCACGCGCCGCGGGGGAAGGGATGGGGCTGAAGAATAAAGTTCACAGTTTCTTCCTGTTCTTTTGTGAGTCTCGAGTAGGTTTCTTCCCACGCATTCCTCGCCACTCGACTTTTAAAGCGCAGACGAGCGGCGCGAATTATCTCATTTTCCGTAGGAGTCGTTAATCTATAATACGACACGTAGATCGGCGATATTATGAGATGGTGCAAACTGCAGACTCTTAATTAGCATTTGTAGATTCCCGCGGTTCGCCAGGCGCGATTTTACCGCCGCGTCTTTCAACGGAATATAAACGGTGACGATTGTGTAACGTTGATTGTAAGATTGACAGCCCTCGGAGTAGCGGCACTTATAGGACATTACGTGCTTCTGCAAAACTAAACGAGAATGTCACCGCGGCCGACATACCGCCGCTTGGTTCGCCGCTCAGGCTGGCCCACTCGTCGACTCTATCTCCTTTATTCGTCCTTTACCGCCGATTTTATATCTCGCCTCCTCCCGTCCCGTTATATTAATACGATCTCAATTTAATTATCTTCGCAGATATCTATCCGCGCTTTCGCCGTCAGGTTGCCGCCTCATATTTCGCTGCTTTACGCGCGCGACGTTGTCCCAGTTTCTGAGCCGACCCGGTATTAACGCGAGATATATCGTCGCGTGTTGAACAAAAAGCGCCGTCGATGTTATTCGTCGGTGTCTGTCTTTGTTCCGCGATAATATTTTATGTAAACGCAGAGGCGCTCTCTCTCTCTCTCTCTCTCTCTCTCTCTCTCTCTCTCTCTCTCTCTCCCCCCCCCTCTCTCTCTACAGAGGCGTTTTATCTCCCTGCCGCGCGTTAAAAAATTTTTTAAAACAGTATGAAAATAGAGTCGATCGCGGCGCACTGGCTGTACCTGATGTATTTGAAGAGATCCGCGCAATATTTTATTTAATAATGACGTATCTCGTGGATCAGTTTTCATCATAGCGATGCTCAAATATCACATGTCGGGCTCTCATCAATCCCTCATTGACGGACCCCGCGTTTTTCAAGCCAAGTGTAAAGCTGAAATATATAGATCGGCTTTTTTTTTTTTTTTTTTACTTGATTACTACAACGGACGCTGCGCTGCGCGGCGCATAGTTGGAGAACAAGTCTATCGGTGTGCATCCTTGTAGCGAGCGGTATCGGAAAATGTTGCGAAAGCAGCGGCGTAACGTACTGCGAGCGGTGAATAATAAAAATAGTTGATAGTCATAAGCTATGATGTTATGCCGGCGCGCACACCGGTATTCAGTCCTCCGATAGTTTTCGCTGGACGGCGGAAAACTAAGTTGCCAAGTCGCAGTGTGTTTACGGGCCTTCATTTATCGCCGTGTGTATATAACAGGTTACCGCTCTCCAACGTGTCACACTTTCTTTCCGTTACGTTTTATCGTTGCATGCATTTTTTACGCGTCTGGCAAAATTCTTTCATCGCTCGTCTTTCCCTGTTCCTTGTACTGTCCGCCAGAGGGTGCCGAGTTTCGAAAATAGCGTTGTGGGCAAAATGCACAGAGGCCTGAGTCGAAATTTTGCTACTATTTTGACACTTTTGAGGATAACTCACACCTATTTAGCTGATCTATACACCTACATAGACCAGCAATAACCTACTTTCCTGACATTATATTTTTTTCTCCTCCCCCTTGAATCTTTAATTCTAAAAATTTACTTTAGCCCCTACTTAAAAGGACCTACTTTAATACTAAATTGGCAAAAGTAGAAATTTCCGACATTATCAGTTTTAAAATAGGAGTAAATTTTGTACTTGCAGTTCGACCTCTTTTACTGTCTTAGGTCGTACTAGAGACCCTGTAATCAGAGACTGGCCATAAGAGTTCGTCAAACTCCCGCAAGTGAGAGAGAAACATAGGCTATCTCACTCTTTGGCAATCGTAAAATCGTAGAAGAGTGAGATAGTCTATGTTTCTCACTCACTCGCAGAAATTTGACGAAGTCTGATGGCCAGTCTCTGATTACAGGGACTCTAGGTTCCACTATGTAATAGAATTAACGGTCCAACATAGGGTGAAAATTTCGACTCGAGGGGGACAAAGAGCATTTTCAGGAATAAGATGAAAAGGATAGAAAGAAAAGCGAAGACGCGCACTTTAGTATCTTTGTTATTTTTTTGCGGTCTTACAAGTACAAGTGTTGCCTCTTTTTGACAATTATTTTTATAGACAATGTGAAACAATATTGAAAACGAACGACGGGGCAATACCGCGTCAAAGTAACTCCGACGTCACTCCCGGTTCTGGTCGCTAATAGTTCTCGGTTTCGAGAACTTGAAGTTTCTCAACGTCTCCCGCTCCGTCCCGTATCCTCCGCGACACGGGAGCGTAATTTCACTTTGAAACGTTCGCAAACAAGTTTACCGACTCTCAAGGGTCGCTAATGTCTATATATTCGACGCAAGATGCGCTTTAATCGCACTATATTAATCGCTCGCCGGGTAATTACGTCTCGGGTTTTTTCAATGGCGCTTTTATCTCGCATAACTCGACGCGCTCTGAAAGAGTGTCGCATGCGACGTTACGTAATTCGCGGCCCAGAAAACTATCCGCTAATTCGTTCTTGCCTAGTTTCCCCTAGGACGCCCCTCTCTATATCTAATTTGGATCTACTTTTGGTTTCAGTATGCGGCGACATTCACGGACAGTTCTACGACCTGATGAAATTATTCGAGGTGGGCGGTCCACCCTCCTCGACCAAGTATCTCTTCCTCGGCGATTATGTTGACAGGGGTTATTTCAGTATCGAGGTGAGTACGCGGAAAGAAGCACATTGTAGACAATCGTCTGCGCCGTTTCTGACCACTGAATCGCCAGGGCGGATATTACATCGCTAATTAAGAGTTACGGGGAGCAATTAAGAATTAATTGTATCTATATACGCGTTAGCGTGGCGGTACATACAAATAGCGCAAACGTAAATGAACATTTATGCCTCTGACTGCCGGCGAGAAAGCTTTATCTCCGGAATTTGTGCGGAAGCACTCAATCATCGGATTCTGTAATTAGCGCATGTCCTAATTAATTAGTTATTAAATCGTCGGCTCGCTCACCCGCTTATCCAGCTTAAGAGAAAGTGCAAAATCGTTAATTCTCTTAGAGGCTTGCTTTGATACCATCCGATTGTTGCAAGTGCTCCGACACACTCGCACGTAGATTATTAAAATTGTAAATCAACAACTTTACAAACTTTTTGAAGAATCTCCGGTTTCTACGGGCGAACGGACAATTGCAAATTACATTGAATATAGAGAACAGTCCTCTATTATGAGATAGGATTCTAATGAGATAGCAGGTTTTTAATGTCCAAAATTCAATCACGAATCTCTTTTCGCAACGATTACACGATCCAACAATCAATTTCTCACTAAACAAATTTCACTCCAAGGGCAATAAATTCATGGTAGAACCAACGGATGATGCCTATTAATAAAGGACTATCCTCTATCAATCGCTGTGGTTTCCCGAATCGAAATTTTGGCCTTACGTTGAACCTTTAATTCTATTATGTAGTAGAACCCAAGACAGTAAAAGAGGTCGAACTGCAACTACAAAATTTACTCTTACTTAAAAGCTAATAGTGTCGGAAATTTCTGCCAATTTGGCATTAAAGTGGGTCCTTTTAAGTAGGGGTTAAAGTAAATTTTTGGAATTAAAGATTCAAGGGAGGAGTAAAAAAATATAATGTCACCAAAGTAGGTTATTGCTGGTCTATGTAGGTGTATAGATCAGCTAAGTAGGTGTAAATTATCCTTAAAAGTGTCAAAACGGTACTAAAATTTCGACTCGGATTACCTCGCGACAGCTCATTCTTGATAATCCGGAGAATATAATTTTCGACACGTCAACCAACGATGTCGCGCAGAAGAGCAACATTTCGCTCGCTTTATTGACTCCTAAAGCTCGATCTTTCGTCGGATGCCGTTTCACTTAAATGTAACGAGCAGATACCTCCGTTGGAATAGACACGCCGCGGACTTTTTCGAATCTCTATTTTGAGTATTGGGAAAGCAGTAGTCAAGAGAGAAAGGCTCCAGCACGTACAATACATTTGTTACCCGGAAGTATTGCGCTCGGAAGTATTCTCCCGAATGTAATTTCGAGGCATGCGCGAATAATCAACTTTGATCCGACACGAGTAGTCTATTTTGCGAGATAAAATTTCGTCACGGGCGAGTACGCTTCATGTCGAGCATAATGCAATATTCCGTCGCGCCACTAGGAACAAGAAAATGCGCGAGAGGAGACCCGAAGTAGCGGAAGCGGCATCTTGAGTGCCCCCCCCTCTCTCTCTCTCTCTCTCTTTCCTCTCCCCTCCCCTCCGCGACGCTCTCGCGTCTCGGGGAATTTTTACGCTGTAAAGTAACGAACAATTTCCTTTCGCGAATTCCGGAAAGCTGGGGAGAGACTACAAAGTTTTAGTGCGCGATCGTCCTAAACCGCACGATACACAAGATGCAATTTCGCTGCGACGACGCGTAGATATCTCGAACGGGATGCAATTTCGGGATTCTATTTTTGGAGGAAGTCGATGGTATTACAAGTTCAACATTGATCGTACAGGCTCTTATATATTTTAAAGACCTCGTGTCTCTCGATACTTATTCGTCTCCTGTAATCCGCTCGGAATAACAATTCGCAGCTCCGAGATAATTTTTATTCGCAATCTCGCTCTATTGATTTATTAGACGAAACGCGGCCGACATTCGCGAGATATAATTTCTAACTTGTCCCGAAAACCACCGTGATTTCGCCGCAACAACCTCCACCGTGTGCAGAAATTTACGGAAGAAATAGGGGACAATCCAATATTGTACGTGGTGTTACACGTGGCGCGCTGCGTAGCCGAGATTTAAATATATTCTCCGCGAAGTACATTTCGCAAGACAGCGCGCGGGCAAGATGGCTCCTTTTAAGAAAATCTCTTGATATATTCCGCGGCTGCCGTTATTCAGATCGAGATGCGTCTTCGTGGATTCTCTGAATAATGCAAGGCGCAGCATGTTGTCGTTGCGAAGCGCGCACGGACGCCGTCAGATTTATGACGCACGCGAACGAATGTCGACGGTCCAAAGCCGTACGCGACTTGCTGTTTCCAATCAAACTGATGGACCGAACATAATAGAATCTTTTAAGATCGACTATATATTCACAAACAGACATAAAGTAATATCGCCGCGGTAATATAGTCTCGCACGAGAGCGTTCCTCGCGTTCCTTCGAGTCGGCTGTACCCGAGTCGGAGAGCTTTATTATAATAAATATTAGTAACGTTAATTAATTACTGCCCTGCGTTTCCCTCGCTCTTTTCATCAACTTGATCCCCCGAGAGAAGGGAAAATAAATCTCTCGTTTTTGTTTCTTTTTTGTACAATTTTCAGAGACTGTAGAGCTTTTATTTTCTTCGTTCGCGGAACTAACGCGGGATTTCTCGCGGCGGTGCCGGCGATACTCCCCTTCTCGGAGGATAATTTTGCCGTGCGAGCGGTTGCGGATTCGATCTATTTACGACTGTGGTACGGGGGAGCCGATCTATCCACGAGAGACACGGGAGATGGAGCGTAGCACTCCCTCTCTCCCGCTCCCTCCCTCTCTCTTTCTCTTTCTCTCCGCCTTTCTCCTCATTTTACGGCGCGATATTCGAGAGCGGGGAATATCTCGCGGAGAAAATGGACCGCCTTCGCGTCCGCTGGTAAATGGTATTATAAATCGGCCGGAGCCGCGTGCGCCCCAAGCATGAAAGGGGTTTCTGTCGCGCGACTGCTCGCACTCTCGGAGGATGCTCGATCCTTCAAGGATGCTCCGTTCGATGGCTCGCGCGCGGAGAAAGGACTCGTTCCGCGTTTTAAGAGGATATGTCAGCGGTGCACGGGTACGCAATTGCGCGACGCGAATGCACAGATACCGTATAATATGTAGATCCCTGCACGCGAGCGTGTGTTTATGCGCGGCACACGCGCGGCAGCGATACGTTAAATCTCCGTGAGCTCGATGTCCCGCCTCCCATGTCTCCTCTAGTGACAAATCCGCAGTCTTTTCTTTGACGTTCGCTCCCGATCATCCCGGTAGATGCCGGGAGATGGATACAAAGGTAAAAGCCGAGCTTAAAGGGAAGACACGGACCGCTCGCGAGAGCAGATTCCATCCGCCATGATCGTTCGTTTGAAAATCTTATTCCGCGTGCTCTCGAAAATCTTCTCGTCCTCGCGCTGCGGGGAAGTTCCCTCCGAATTCTCCTGAATAATTTCTGGCGCTTGTAAAAAGGCAACACGATTGTGAAGATCGAAAGGATCGGATGCGAAAGCGGATCAAGTATTATTGAGTTAAGAACTCGATGCACTCCTTCGATTTAATTACAATTTTCTACCACATGTATTCCATCTTACATCACATCTTGTCTTGACAGTGTGTAAACGATATATAGACTGTCAATAATTGCTCATTTAACAAGGGGTCGCTTTATTGTGTCGAGAGTCTCGAGTGATATTGAAGGGGCAAGGAATCGATATCAAAATTCTTATTTGAGAAGATCCTTGAAAGAATCGCCAAGAAATTATGAAAACATCCAGAAATGTTTACGGGGATAAAGCAGCGTGTTTCCAAGTGGTACAAATCTTTGTTAAGTTGGGAAAAGAAGTTTCAATCGGCATCCTGACTGGTATTTCAATTGAAGAGTTTCAAGAGTATTTCTCAGCGGGAACATCGTTGGAATATAAACGCAAAGGGATTCTCTGCCCTGAAGAAGATATTAATTTGGACGAATGAACTGCACGAGAACGCTCGAACAAAAAAAAATAGACGAAAGTTGTAATCTCGCGTACGAACTTGAGCCACGTGTGCGTTTCGCGCGATCGCCGGGCGTGGAGAGAACGATAACCGATGCGGCCGGGCACCGGCGCGCTCCGAACGCGAGCGAGCCGCGGCAGAATCCGAAGGACGAGCGCGTTATTTCGTTACAATGCCAATGAGGGCCCTCGCGTGTAATTATAGCGGCCGGGGCAAGGCGAGAGCGAGGCAGCCGCTCCGTTGGCTTCGCAAAGGGACGGTGGCGGAAGGGCCGCGGGACGGCGCGAGGGGTGGACGACGGTAGACAGTCGATCGGGTCAGCGGGGAGAAAATAATTGACCTCGAAAGTCTAAGAAAAAAAATTGCCGGCGCCCTGGCTTTTACGGGTAGACGGGCGCGAGAAATCCTCTCTCTCCCTCCATCCCCCCCCTCTCTCTCTCTCTTATAGTAATATTTGCTCTCACGCTTTAGGAGACTTGTCCTAGAGCGTGTAATAAATAATGATTCTGAATCTCTCTCTCTCTCTCCCTCCCCCTCTCTCTTTTATAGTAGCTTTTGCTGTCACACTTTAGGGGACTTGTCCTAGAGCGTGTAATAAATAATGATTCTGATTCTCTCTCTCCCACCCCTCTCTCTCTCTCTCTCTCTCTCTCATTCTTATAGTAATTTTTGCTCTCACGCTTTAGAGGACTTATCCTAGAGCGTGTAATAAATAATGATTCTGATTCTTTCTCTCTCTCATCACCGCGGCGCGCGGATTCTGTGAGACGCGCAGCGGGTGCGGGAGATAAATATCCTATGTAACCAAACGTGTGACATTTCTTTTCCCCTGTCCCACCGAGGTGAGCCGCGGCGCGATGTCGGCAGTCCCACGCTATCGATTTGATGCACAAAGGTTAAACGTTCCGGTCCAGCGGTTTCAATCGCAATCACATCTGTTTCACCTTACGTAAGACCACGGTGCTGGAATATTTTTCAACTTTTTTTTTCTCGGAGATTTCTCCTCTCTCTTTTTTTCACCCCTACGGTCTGCAATCGCGAAAGACCGAGCGGGGCTTCCCGGCCATCCTTTCCTCGCTGGATTGGGCGAAGATTAACTTTTTAAAGGGGAAAAATCGATTCCAGGATGAATAATAATGTTGCATTAATTTACATTTTCCCTTTAAGTGCGCACGGGATGTGTCCTCGTCGGAAAGAAGCGCTTTCTTCGAACCCTGCGGATTCTTCGGCCATTTTTTACTCGATCTCGAAAATTATGACGGAATACCAATAAGTTTCTTTTATAAACTTAAAGACGTAATCGTTTTAAAATTAATCATTCGAGCTGCTGATAGATAATAAAAATCTATCCTGCGGACAGTTTCAGGATTATTTCATTGTGACGTTAGTTCAAGATGTAGCGTCCGAAATGTCTGACGTTGAAAACTTTGAAAATTGCACGAAGGAAAATTGGATCCCGTGAAATTCTCGATCCGGTCGAAATTGGTAAAAAAAAATGCGCGGATTACCGTAAGCGCGTTTGATGCGACGCACGTTGCATACCGATGGCATCAAGACGTGCAGGTTGTTCGGGATCGAATTGTCCGCGGCGCGAGAAAATTGTCAACGAACACGCGGCGTCTGTAAAGGCTTTAATCCGCATTGTTCGTGCGCAATTAAGCCTGTTTAAAACTGCCGCGTCAGCCGTGATTATTAAACAGCCGCGGACAACGAATACGGGACAAATGCCGGCCGCATAAAAGGTCCGACGGGATCGCGCCCTGCCCCTTCCCGTCGCCGTCCGAAGCCGTGTTGAAGCTAATGGAGTCGTCATTACGGCCGCCACATTCGGGCGAGCGAGCTAATTAGCGCGGACACAAAATTCGTGCGAAATCCGCCGGTCCGTTCGTTAGCAACGGCCATTGCCAATTTAATGCGGGTCAGTGGTCCGTGTATTACAATGAATAATATTAATTAGTGATGCACTCGCGCGTAACGCACCTCGCCCCGATACCAGCCGAATTCCGACGATCGCAATCGCACCGGCAAAGGGAAGTTCGAAATTCGCGGCTTTAATTCCGCGATCACAATCGACAGGCAATCTGTAGTTGATATCTTGATACCTGTATCGTTTGTACCTTTGTTATTTCGCAACACGTATTGTTAATAACGTCTCATATTTTCCTCCCCCACGGTGTTTAAAGTTTCGTAACGATTTATTACCTCCGTTATTATTTCCTCCCGAGTTTCGCCGAGCAATTATCGCGCTCGCTAAATAATTTTCACCCCGCGTACAGTACGCGGTACAGTCCCGCGCAACTACGCAGTACGTTTTTATCGCGTGCGCGAAACGCAAGCCAAGTGCAAGTCACGGCTTTCGCCACCCGATTCATTTTTGCGGGATGAAAGAGAGAGAGAGAGATAGAATCGCCGGTAAGAGATTTCCGTTGCCAAAATATTCACCTTTAAGCGCTTGGCATTCGGGATTATTAATGGCATCGTTGTCATTGAGCGAGAGAACGAGAGAGAGGGAGGAAGGGAAGCTGCGACTTCGGTCCGTCTCTCTCCGGCCGACGCGCCGATTAATAGCGCGTTAAATTACGGGGAGAATCTCGCGAGGTCCGGATGCATTCTGCGATGCAATCTGCCGGCAGCGCGTCGCTCGAATTCACGTCGACGCGCAGGTTTCTGCAATTAAAGCGGAGGAATGCCGATCGGTCCGGGGGATCTTCGAGCGATTGGAGACTAACGAATTGTTTCGATTTAATTGAAGGATCGCGATATTGTCGGCGCAGCACAATCACAGGCTAGTTTGAACGTTTGTGTCTTTGACGACCGTCCCCCCGTCTCTCCTCCGTCGAGCATCCTTCGTCGTGTAAGCGGACGTTGTCATAGACTCGTTGGATATTACTGATTGTTTATCGAGAGTGCCCTGGCGTTTCGGTCTATTAATAACTTATTGACCATTCAATTCTTTTACGATTAAAAGACGATTCTGACATTAGACATTAACGCCCCATTCAGGGCGCGCACATGTGCTGCAAAAATATTTATTTCGAGAGACGTATTACGTCAATTATATAAAAATATATACGTATCTAGTCCGTATCTAAAGGTTACGAAACGGCACCGGCGTTACGATTACATGGTGAATTACCTGGCTGACGCCTACACTGTTCGTTTTTGTTTCAGTGCGTATTGTACCTGTGGGCGCTGAAACTGTGCCATCCCACCACACTCTTCCTCCTCAGAGGTAACCACGAGTGCCGTCATCTCACGGAATACTTCACGTTTAAGCAGGAATGTAAGTAATTCCCCCTTTGGGACGTCAAGTCCTTCTCACGTTCATAATTGCAATTTTCAAAAGTATATAAACGCGCGGTTTTGCAGCCTGCGCGGGTGACCGGGTCTTTCTTGTTCCTTAAAAAATTCGCGGGCAAGAATGGCGGCCCCTCTCGCGCCGCCCTTCCTCTCTCCGATCTCGAAATATTCATTTCCGGCGCCGCGCCGTGTTGAATCTTTCACGTCGCGCGTCTCTTCGTTTTTCGCAGCCAGCGCTTTTGTTTCGCGCCGTAATAAGGAATTATTTCCCGTTTAATAATTCGCAACTCGGATTAAGTCCCCCGCCACGTTAGTTACGGCAGGGTGTTGCCTCGTAAGGCGAATTAGCGGAGCGGCGCGGTGAAATTTATGCTGCTCATCTACATCCGCGAACTTCGGTATGCCCGGCACAGGCGCGTGTGTGCTGTAATTAGGGTCTAAACAATGTAGCTTTTATATGAGAAAAAAACGGAGAGGTGAGAATAAAAATTGTAAGACACGGCCGTTCGCGCGGGTTTCGAAGACAAAACGTGTTCAACGAATGAAACGTAGCGCGAGGATAATTCGCAGACCCGTCTCTCGCGTCTAAAAATGTTGACATGTCGCGCTGCTTATTAATACGCGGTTAAAACAAACGCTATCCTCACGCATAAATGTTAGACGCTAAATTTAGATGCGCGCGGACGTAGGCACACATTGTTTTATAGAACGTTGCGCAAACATAATATCGGGGATACGTCTGACCTAATTAACGGAATTCGCGATGAAGCTAATTTATTGTATATTGTTGTTTTTTTTTACATGTTTTATGCGGCCCTATATCTCGCCAGTCTATAAATACACCGTCGCGTGACAATATCATTCTAAATAGTTAATTATTCCGCAATTTGTATTCCACGTTACCTATATTTTTTTTTCTGCCCCACATACGCCTGGAGGATTATCCCGTCTGAATAAGTGAAAATTGGAGGAAATGGGTCATGAAAATTCTCTGGAACTAATAGGGGATACGCCGCACGCTTGCGCCGCGCGTAATGACACTAACGTTATAGAAAAAGAAAAAAAAAGCCGCAATAACCGGGACTCGATCGTAACGATAACTCGTGTTGCGTGTGCAGTATCGACCTTGTGACCCGCGCGTGTCCTCTCGGTCTTTCGATCACGTGTATGTAGCCCGCGTCGGATAAGTTACGGGATCGTAAACCGCCGGACATCGCAGCGCGTTATATTTGCCGAACAGACAGGATTACTCGCAATTCTCCCTCTCTCTCGCTCTCTCTCTCTCTGTCTATCTCATTGTCTCGCTTAAGTTCAAGTTTGTTCGCAACCGGCGAGCTTACCGGGATTACATTAATCGCGGGAGTTTACGTTACGTGGGTCCTGCCCACACCCTGGCGCGCGATACGCGCGCGGACACCAGAAAATCCAGATTTGCGGCGTGTTGAACGTCGGACGCAGCTGCTCGTCTCACATCCGTCCGTTTGCGTTTACGCGCGCCGGTCGGATGTGATCGCGACGTGCGAAAAAATCGCGCGATACCCTTGGTCGAGACGCGCGTATCCCCCGACGATTCGCTCGCCGCGCGGAAATGTCGGGCCGACGTCCGCGCCCGCGTCGTCACGCGAGGAGAAGCCGCGCCGTGCATTACGGCCTCGCGCGAGGCTGCCCGTTCCCGTCGCTCGCATCGTAAATGTTACAACGACGCGACCGAGGAAACCGTGAGACGGAGAGAGCGGGGGCGCCTCGCAAATACTCGCAGGTTGACCTAGTATCGGACAATTTTCCGCGATCGATACACTTTTCCGCGAGACGCCGCCGGCTTCTGCCGCGCGCTGCGAGTTCCCGAGCTGTGCGTCGCGAGGGATGCGACGACGGGCCCGGGGAGCGGGTACTTTTTCCGCCCGGTAGCCTGGCTACTTAATGCATCGGCGATTCATTGCGGAAAAGACATCGACAGTCGTTTACCTTTAGAAACCGAGAGACAATGCACCCAGAAAAAAGATTTAAAAGTCGAAAATGAAAAAAGTCGAAATAGACGCGTAGACAACATCTTTATACTCTTATTGCGACAAATATTATCATATGCCTCGGTGGTCGAATTGGTGAGACACCCGTCTACTGTGGGAAAAAAAGAGCAACTCATTTTGGGGCCCACAATTAGTAATCGAATTATTTGGATTGTTCGTAACTCTACTCTGAAAAAAAATTTTTACCGTTTTTTTGTAGTTAATATTTATAATTTCGCCATAACGCTCTTCGCTGCCGCGAGGCGGCGATTGCACGTTGCACTTTCTCGTATTTAAAAATCAACCAATAGCAGTATATAAGAAGTGGCGAGAAATCAGATCTAACAGTTGTGGCAAATGAAATCAATTTGATCTCTGCTGGTAAAGCGTTGAGAACCTAAATTCTAAGATACTTGGAACACCTAATGTAATATTCCTTTTAATATTTTTATATAAAATATATGATGAAATATAAAAAAGGTACAATGCACACATTAGACGTGTATAATTACATACACAGCTTTGTATTATAATGTACATATATCATACATTTTATTATATAATATATTTTTAATACATATGGATAATATATGAAAAGTTCCAATTTATTGGTATTACATTTATAGTAGTAGTATATATTTCTTATAACGCATATACGAGTAATATAAAACAAATGTATCCTTTCTACTTTTCTTTATACATAATGAAATATATATTTTTTCGTGGGGGCACTGACGTTGTTAATTATCGCTGGCGACATTAAAGAATTTTTATTAGTTAAAAAAGATTTGTTAGTTAGATTTAGTTAGTTTATAGCGAATCAGGTTGGTTGCACTAGTGCGCACTGAGTGCACACTAATTGTAAGCCTTGTTTCCAATCAATTCTTACATTTAAAGGTCATCTTAAATATCTCTTGCGATATTTCTTATCCAGAAAGTGGTCTGTACAACGTTTACACGGATCATTTTTTTACTAAATGCTCTTTGAACATGTAGGTATTTAAGACAAAGCAGACACTTAGTGTGCACTCAGTGCGCACCAGTGCAAGTAACCGAATTCGCTATTGGGCAATGAGATACGTTAAAGTCATATTTCTTTGAGGCCCAGTTTTTCATGTTCTCGTTAACCAGAAAAAAAAATCCACTGAGTTTATATTCACTTCTACCGAAACATTTGCTAGATTTGAAGAAATAGAATCTGAATTCTCTTAGAAATTCCAGTCTCGATCGAATAGAATTTTGGTTACGGTAGAGAAACGGTTTCTTCGAAATTCAATGAAAGTCTAGTAAGGCGAATATTCGAAGAAAATGTGTTTGATTCCGAACAAAAATCCTTCTCTCGGTCTTGTACACATGTATATCGCGTTTCACCGGCGACCTATTAATATCTTTCCAAGTATCCGCCCGATGCCCCGACGATAGTTCGATCACGAGCGTCGGACGTAAATTCGTATAGCGCTCTTAAACCGGCTCTAAGAACGTTTTACGTGTTATTAAACGTTTTACGCCGTCTCATTGTGTCTCGCCGCTCTCGCGTCCCACCCCCCGCCGCCTTCGTACTCCACCCTCTATTATGGCGAGCGAAAGAGCCCGAAACGTCGAGGGGGGACGCGGCGGGCTCGCTCGCGTCGCACTTTCGCGCGCCCTCGTGCCCGGGGTCCATTTTCGTGCCCGGGGCCTCGTTTTTAAAGAACAGTTCTAATTTCCTCCTACATCCCAGGACCGACGTACCAGAACGCCATTTCCGCCCGCGATATTAAGCGAAATGCGAGGCCACCCCCGCCTCCTCTCCCGCCCCTGGGGGACGGGGCTCGCCCTCGACAAAAAATCGCTCGCTCGCGCACGCACCGTGACCCCGATTCCGTCGCGCGCGTTTAATAACCGCGATAACCGCGAAAATCCCCCCCCCCCCGTGCGCGTGCACGGTGCCAGCCGGCGCTTTAATCATCCGTTTTAACGGAGCTTTCGCCGCGTGCATTTATTGGCGAACGGATGCCCCGCGGAGAGGGGTTGGGCACGGGGGGCGCCCCCGCTCTCGCGCATATCCGCGTCTCTCCGCGTTTTCTTCCTTTTTCGCTGACCGCCTATTTACACGCGGCCTAGTTACCCTGCGGCGCTGTTACGTTCACGTGCCGGCCGATCGAGAAAATTGCGATTATCTCCTGCAGCCCCCCCCCCCCCCTTCTTTCGAGCTTTTCCTCGCGATACGAAGTCGCGATAGCACGCTCGCGCGAGAACGGGGAGTAGCTAAATTCTCTTTTTCTTTTCTTTTCTTCTCACCCCCCCCCTTCCCCCCTCTTTCAAAAGGCAACGGAAATTCAAGCCCGAGAGCCGATAACTCGCCGCGAGTATCGCGCGCGTTTATTTAAACTAAGGTAACCGCGGCGCATTGTGGATTACAACGGCGCGGAGACTTCCCCCGTCCCGTTATCGCGTCTTATCCAAAACGCGGGGTGTAATATTGCAAAAAATGCGGCGGACCGCGATAAAACGTGTATCGCGCGACCCCACGCCGCCCGCACGTTTTTCCCTGACGCTCCGCCGCGCGCACATTTTTCTGCCAATTCGGGTAACAATGACGCGAGAAAAATGTAACGCGCTTAACCGTGACGTATAGAGAAGTTCGATACCGGTTCTATCAAGATAAATGCGCGGCTGCTCCTCGCCGCCGTATATCTCGTCCACCCCAAATATATCATTTTTACCACACCGTGTCTGGCGTTAATATACGGCGATGCATCCCGCGTGAAAATCTTAAGCCAACGGCACACGGTACTATTTTTCCTACTGGATCGCTTACGAGAGCCAATCAGGATGCAGAGTTTTAGATCGGGTGACTTCAAGCTAAACCCCCGATTGTCTCCCGTAAGCAATCCAGTAGGAAAAATAGTATCGCGTGCCGTTGGCTTTAGGCTGAATACGGCCACGGGGTTCCAAACGGCTTCTTCCCGCAAACTTGTTGAGAATCTTGTGCCTCTTAGTACTTGAACGTTACATTTTATTCCGTTCTTTATATCTTTAAGTTTAATCGCCACGGGGACGAACTTTATTTCGCGTATCTTCGTTGCGGAGCGCGATGCTATTTGCGATTGTCTCGCAGCCGCGCCTCATCTGGCTCCGTCCCGCGATCCGCGACGCTGGAGACTAACGATCGCACTTCCTGAAGGTCGGCACGTCGGAGCTCGAGCTCGAGAAACGCATTATTCCGAGCGATCTTGTCGCTCGCGCGCCTCTCGCGCAAGAAGCCGGGACGCGGTGGCCGCGCGCCAAGTTCGGCGCGGCGTGTCGTTTCGAAACGGACCACGTTGCCAAAAACGACCGTTTGTCCGCGAGCGCGCGATTAATTCGCCGGCGAATTCGCCAAAATCGTCATTTTTGTCGCGTTACGCGGGGTGCGGACCGCGTGACAGTCGTATAAAACGGGAATGCTGTGCCGCGAAACTCGATCGTCGTCGCACGCCCTTGCGAGTGTGTCACAAGTTGGGGCTTGAGCAGAACGGCTGCCTTTTTCCTCTAGCGAGGGCATTCCGTAGAATCTTGTTTGAGCATTATTCATGCAGAAATAGACTTATGATAATGAAAGACCCGATTATCACGAGGTGGGACGTATACGTCCCGCTGCCCCGCAAAGGGTTGAGAAGAATTTTACCCGAGAAATAGATCGGATTTGAAACGAGCAACATTTACTCTCAATCGCTGACAATTAATCCCAATCGAGTGTCTACATATTTACAACGAGTTCATACTTTTCTTGTTGTCCATCTTGCCGGCTTAATTGCGACGCTGTACTCGACGAGTTTAGACATCTCAACGGTGTCCTTCTTTATCTCCCTCGTTTAATAATCTCGAGACATGAGAGCCACGCCGAGAGCCCGTCCTTGGCGCGATATTACGGACGTCCGCCTCGCAATACTTCAATCCGCAACCCCCAAAGAGGCTCCCACGTCCACCAGCCGGCCGTTCATTTGCGAGATCCCGTCAAGGTCCTCGAGTGGCAACCCCGTGCGACGATCCGTTTAGCTTCACCGCCGACAAATCTTTATCCTGTCGAGATTACTCCGCTTTATTGGTAGGAAATCCTTTTCGCGCGTCACCTCGTACGGCGATTCGACGATCCTCCGTCTATGTAGTAAATACAGGCTGTTTTACGTCAATTTCCGAGGTCGCGCTTAATGGGGAAACGTGTCAGAAACAGAGAGCGATGGCTCGAGGAGAGCTTCTCACGAAATCCTTCCGAGAGTTAAAGTTTTACAATTTTCATGTGAAGCAGCGTCATACGAGTTAGTTATAAAAGTAATCAGAACTTGGAATCGACGAAAAAAAAGAGGGAGGAGGAGAGATAGAAAACGGTACGCCGGGCTTCGCCCCTACCCGTAGGACTGGTCCGTTTTACTCCAGAAGTGAGACAACGCTTAACCCGCTCCGACTTATCTGCGGGCGGAGAAGCGGGTTTGTCGCTCGCGCGCGAGCTGTCGGTTGCACGCGGCGGCGGGAAAGTTGCGGGAGAGACGGAGAGACGCGCCGCGAAATTTCGGGAACACAGAACAGGCGTGGACCGAATCCTTCGTTATCCCAGATAGTATCCATTATTCTGCGAGGACCGCGGGGGCGCGACGTAAAATAGAGCCCCCCGTGTGTCCGCCATCCCTCTTACGGCTCGTTCACGGGACGGTCCACGGCTGTGCGCGTTTCGTCTCGCTTGTCAGGCTTTTTTCTCACGGCTCCCTCGCGTCGCCTTTATTTCCCTCCCCAGCTCGGTCTTTTCGGCCCAATGGCGAATTAGACGTGTCGGCGCCGATTCCCCCGCGTGTTCCCCGTCCCCGTTCCCGCCTCGTAAGGGACGCGCCCGCATAAAGGTGGCCGAGATCGGGCCCCCGGCGCATTCGCACGGTCGTCGTAACGCCATAACGCTGATAGGAACGAAATCCCTCCGTCGGACTCCAAGGACCAAGTGCCGCGATCCGTCGTTTTAATCTTGGATCGCCCGCCTTTTTCTGCTTTCAGGTAAAATAAAATACTCGGAGAGAGTGTACGACGCGTGCATGGATGCCTTCGACTGTTTGCCGCTCGCAGCCCTTATGAACCAACAGTTCCTCTGCGTGCACGGCGGCCTGTCGCCGGAAATTCACAATTTAGAAGACATTCGCAAAGTAAGTACTTTTCTCTCTCTGTGCGCCCTCCGGTCATTTGCCTGCTCGTGTCGCGATCTTCCCGAACAACATTTTTGTCGTCCTCTCGACCGGTGACCGTGTCTCGTCGGACGCGCGGTGACTCCCTCCGTTTAAAGCCGAATCCGAAGGGCTGCCTCGTGGAGGGAGGCCGGACACTCTTCTGTGGTTTGTCATCCCCCCCCCCCCGAAACGGAAGACGATCGAATAAAAACCAACGGGACTTCTCGTCGGATTTGAACTCGGATCTTCACGTCGTTAGAGCTACGCGCAACTCTTTGCGCCACGGTCGCACTTTAATATGCCGCGTTAAAGCGTTAATAAATCCGTGACCGCAAAGTCCCGTTGTCGCGTAAAATTAACATATCGCGTAAAATATGAGCGATCACCCCGGAGAGGAGATCGTCGGAGAACTTCTCATTGATATTTATTTCTCTCGGTGCCCCCTGTATTTCTGATCTCGACTTTCCCCGGACAATTTTCGCGGAAGACCTCCGAGCGTGACGGTGTTCGGTCAATTTAAACTTATCGAGATCGCTTTTTCGCTGTTTGACTTTTCGCGAACTTCCGTCGGGTGAGGCAAGTCACGAGGGCCATCTGGGACGGCGTCGCGTCTTAATGAGGCGCGATCGTTGGTAATTGCGTTTACCCCTCGCCGCCCCAGGCCCTCCGCCGGGCAGGGGAGGGGGTGGATTAGCCTTGATATTATTTCTCGCAATCGTGCCGAGGCCAATCGCTCGCGGAGAGAAAGAGGGAGAGAAAGAGAAAGAGTCCAATGACACTCCGCCGCGCCGGAAGCGAACCAGGGAGAGCACCGACGTGCTGCCACCTGCTCTATCGATCCGTCCACCTACGCCTTTTACCTTCCTGCATTGCGTGCGGCACACACGGGCGTGCGTGTGCGGTGCACGCGCGTCGTCCCGATCGCGCGCGTCCGCGAGTAGCTCGTCGCCCCGGCGCGCTCTCTCGCCGATCCCGCGGATAAACGATAAGACGAGACGTCCCCCGCGGAATGGGACGCGTTAAATATAGCCGCGGTGCGATCTTCCGGACGCGTCTCGGGGGCGACGGCAGCTCCAATTGTTCTCCGCGCTCTCAGGGCCGCTCCCCCTTGACGCGCTCGATCGCCGCAATTGTATGCCATTAGCGCGACTTTCATCGCGCCGGCGGGATCGATCGACGGGGAATTGTCTCAACGGTTTGTCTTGGCCGCTCGGCGTTTACCGTCGCGGACGCAACGCGTTTGGAATGCCCGACGGATACTCGGCGAAAATCGACGCCGGGTAAAGAACCCGATCGGCCGCCCCGTATCTCGTCGCGCTACGCTAAAGCGGCGATAAACGGAGAAGTAGATTCGCTTCTTTCGAGATCTCTTCGTGCCGCGCCGCGCGAGCCCCCGGGTCTTATCCGGGACTTGAACGCCGCGCGCGGCCCCGTCCGTCCCCGGGAACCCCCTGGCCTTTCCGCGCTTCCGCGTATCGCGTTTCGCGCTCTGGCAATCGAAATTTCCGAGTGACACCTCGCATTCCCCCGGCTATCGACATCCCCGCGGCCCCGCGCCCGACACGCCCGAGAGACAACGCGAGAGACCGGGAAGCGACCGGGGCGCTTCGCTCTCTCGTGTTTCGTCGCGCTCGTAAAAATCCGCGCTATTTTCATATTATCGAAGCCGGATCTCTCTCGCCCGTTCGCACGGGCAGCGTCCCGTTGAGCTTCCTCGCCGCACAGCTGCCCGGGGATCTCGTCTCGTTTCGGGGCGTTCCGCTTTTATGCTCGCGATACCCACCCTCGTAAAGATACACGGCGTTCCGGGAGATAACGGTCGAGCGAGAGGGAGAGAGAAACGGACAGGTCCGCGTGAAAGAACGCGGCGATCTCACTTAACGATCGACGGATCTCTCGCGTATCGCCCCGGCGTCTCCCGCGGCTTAATTAAGCGAAACGACGACGCGCGCGATTACAATAATGCGCCGCTGTAAAAGAAAGGAAGAAACGACGTGGATTAATCCCGCCGACTACTCCGGCAATTTGCAGCGTGACATGTTCGGAATAAAAATTCTCTCGGCGGAAACGCGAGACCTCGACTCTATCGCGAACCGGGTATAATGAGGGATATCGCGCGGGCGTAAATCGCGACTGCGAGATCGCGCGGGTAGCTCCGTCCGCCGGCGTTCAATTAGGATAATCCAGTTTCTTCCGGGGGGATAAACCGGGAAATGGATCGCGCAATTATTGTCGTCGAACCGCCAACGTGATCGGAAACGCCTCGAAAGGCGGCAATAAATACGTCTCGCTCGCCGAGCGAAGTTTCTCCCCCCCCCCCCCGAGGATTTATCGCCGTTATATAAGTTGTAATCGCGGTCCCGCCGCGATCCCGCCCCGTCGCCGGGCGGAATTTCGAGCGCCCGCGTGTTTTATTTCCGAGCGCATTTTATCGCCGGCGTTTCAGGACGTTTGATATGGAAATCGACGGCCCCGGTCGGACGATATCGCGGGTCCTTTGAGAGCAAGAGCCCGTAAAACGTGACCATACGCGCTCCGCACCTTGGAAAAGCTCCTCGGCGACGCTTTAACCTCCTTTCCGCTCCGCGCTATCCGAGTAATCGTTCTGAATCTTTGATCGTGACTCGCACGCACGAGGCGTCTCGAGGCGAGAACGGAGTCTCTCTCTCTCTCTCTCTCTCTCTCTCTCTCTCTCTCTCTCTCTCTCTCTCTCTCTCTCTCTCTCATAGTAATTTTTGCTCTCACGCTTTAGGGAACTTGTCCTAAAGCGTGTAATAAATAATTATTCTAATATTCTCTCTCTCTCTCTGTCTCTGTCTCTCCCTCGTGTCTCGAGACACTCGCGTTGCAACGTGCGCGAAGTTTTAGGATATTCGTTTGTTAACCTTCCTCGCGGGAACAGTAAGTAAATCACGGGCGTATTTTTAGAGAGTAGCACGCATCTAGTTTCAAAGAACGTTAAATCACGACGGTGTGTGTTTTGCGTAAACGTCGCGAGTTGTTAAAATCCCGCGAAATCACGACGGAGCGACGCGCGCGGCAGTCTCGTCGACGGCGCGATTTCATCTTAAGACGAAAAGAAAAAGGGGAAACGACGACGACTCTCGTATATGCGCGTGGCGCGTTCTCTTCGGGAGGAAGGGGGGGGGAGGGAAGGAAATCGGGGTGCGAAGGGTCAATCGTTAACGACTCGAAGGATCCGCTGAAATGAACATCGCGAAACGATCGGCGTTAATCTCAGGAATCGCGCGAGGGTAGTAGATCTGCATTAAAGCCGTCCAATTTCGTATCGGTCGTGGCGCATTAGCTCCGTTTAATTTATGGGACGCGGGGGAAGGGAGGGAGGAATAGGGATCGTGCAGGGCGGCGCGTGCATTTTATCGGCTGAAAACTTGCGATTTATGCGATCGTGTTCCGGGAGGGGGAGGGGGAGGAGAAGGAGGAGGGGGGAGGGAGGGTCCGCTTTAAATAGCGGGCTCGCTCGTGCTATCGCGCCGCTATTAAGTTAATCGCCCTGCACGCCTCGCATGCGCGCGTATGCACGTGTATGCGTGTCGCGGCGCGCGCGAGCCCCGGGTTTTAACGAGAGCAATAATAACAAACGGCGCGGGAGCAAAAAGAGAGCCGGGCGGAGAGACACGAAGAAACGCCTTGGCAATCTTGAAACGCATCGACCCGGCAAAGAGCCCGTTTTCCTCGCGAGGTTGTTCTCTTGGCGGGAAAAAGGGGGGAAATTGAGAAAATCGCATCGCGAAGTTTCCACTTTAATCTTCAATCAGAAACGCAATTAGTGTGTATGTATATAAGCGCCAGGCACATTTATGTAACGTAGGGTAAGTGCCCTCTAATGTGAAAGGATTTTCTCGGGTATAAAAAGGAAGGGTAACAAGGATAAAACGCGTATCTTCCATTGAGTCGTGTTATATGAATGCGCGAAGCACTGGAATGCTTTCTCGCTGTCTAAGTGGGATATTACTTGTAAATCAAAATATTTGTTTCATTTAGAAGCTATGCGCGGTGAGAGTTTTCGCTTAAAATTTATCCTGAAAATTATGCGATCGTGGGACAACGTGGCATTTTGATGAACTTTATGAGAATTTTGGAAATTTTACTATACATTTTACTAGTAAGATGTATACTAAATATAATGGTAAAATGTGTATTTTGAATGGTAAAATTTGTATGGTAAAATTTCAAAAAGGTTATACACACGTTTTAATAACAATTACTGATTTTGTTCGATCGAACATACTGGTACAATAAAAGAGATACAAACACCCGAGCGATTCAGCTTGGCTTGTAAAAATGAAGAACAGCGTAATAAGTCTCTAACTTGTAATAGGATTTCGAAAAGCGTATTTGGATTTTATTTTTCTCCGGGGTTCGGGTACGCGTCACAAAAGATATATCCGTGCCTACAGCCACTGACAATGCTTTTAGGGCCGCAACAGCTCTCTTTCCTTTATAGTGTTATGCTAACAATGACGATGATTTTCATTTGTTTGTTATTTCTGCGCATATCCTTAGTGAAATTTCCATAAAACTCAAAAGAGCTGTATCGCTGCAATTTTTTTCCTCCATCATCGCCGCACATCCAGTCTATATCGGGGCGTTTCATCCCACATCGCTTCCGGTTGGATTATAAAATTGTAAATCACGTTTATAGAAATCCGTAACTGCATAATTTTCTGCTATTCATCGCACGGACGCCGGTAGACAAACATGAAGCCACTCACGCATACGCCACACGCACACGCGGGTCGTGAGATACAAATCGTTCTACAAACTACGTTCCATAAATATTTAAAAACTGATACGAGTAGTTGTTTACTTCCGCGACGGAAGGTATTCACGATTCCGCGCGCCGCTCCGATCGCGACGTAAACGAGCCGCGTGACATGCTTCCGCGTTGAAAAAGCCGCTCCGATCGAACGTAGATGGACAGCAGCATATCTGGCAATTAATAATCTCGCTCAAGG